GATCGGGTTCAGGCTCCGAACCGGTGGATGAGAGGCTATGCGAGTTCATCGCATCTGAGATCACCAAAGGCATCCTTGATGCGACCCCGGTCATATTTGGGTCGATCAAGGAAGGGATTGTCGAGCTGATGGAGGATCGCCTTAGGGCGTTCAGGAGTGACATGCCGACCAACCAGTCGGGGTCCCGCACACTGTCCTTTAAGGAATTCAGGGGTAGTGGTGTGCCAAATTTCCATGGGGCGAAGGAACCCATCGCGACCAGATGATGGATTGCGGACATTGAGTCTGCGCAGCTGACCAGTTTCTGCACCAAGGGGTCGAAGTTGAGATATCTTGCAGGGTGTTTGAGAGACAGAGCTAGAGACTGGTGGGAGTCTGTATGTGACTCGTTTGGAGCCTCGACTGTTGAGGCTATGACCTGGTCAGACTTTGTAACCAGATTTAGGGCGGAGTTTGCGCCAGCTGTAGAGCTTCAGCAGCTGGCCAGGGAGTTTCTGGACATGAGGCAGACTACGGAGATTGTGGCGGAGATCACCGCCAAGTTCCGGGAGAGTGCATTGTTGGTGCCCCAGTATGTAGGAGATGAGGATACGAGGAGGAACCACTACAATGACATGCTGCGAGCCAACATTCGGGAGCATGTTAGTTTTTCAGCTTGCCCTACCCTGGATTCCATGATTGTCAGGGCAATGGGGAGGGAGATCGATCTGGAGCATATCTGGAAGAGGAAGATAGAGGAGGGACAGACGACTAGGGATTTGGGGAAGAAGCCCAAGGGATCAGACGGTAGGCCGAAAGTCCAGTCAGGACAGGGCCGCAACAGGAAATGCGGCAGGCCACATGAGGGGGCGTGTAGATTGGGGTCGTCGGGCTGCTACAAGTGTGGCAAGACGGGGCACTTCAGCAGGGATTTTACTGCCCCTGCACCAATTATTCAGACGTCTGAGTTGATGTGTTTCCACTGCAACCAGAGGAGCCACAAGAAGGTCAACTTCCCCCAGTTGACAGCATCAACGCTACTGAAGGCTCCAGCTCCAGTGACCCTGCGGATTACTGATGGCCGGCAGGGCAAGGAAGAGGCTCTAGTGGTGAGGAGTCGGGCATTCTAGTTGACTGTTGAGGAGGCACGCGCTGCACCCGATGTGGTGATGGGTATGACTTCTTATTTATGATTTTATGATATGCTGTTGTGATTTTGATATGTTATGTATGTGCTCTGTTTAGGATCGTTCCATGTGAACGGTATCCCAGTTCAGGTATTGTTTGATTCGGGTGCTACCCGATCATTTGTCTCTCTTGCGCTTAGAAAGAAGTTCCTTGAGTCTTCGGGCATGTTGGAATGCCCTCTAGAGGTTGAGATTGCGGACGACCAGTCAGTGCGAGCATTGGAGGTCTTCCGAGATTGTGTTTTGAGATTGTTCGAGGAGCGTTACCTGGTAGACTTGGTTCTCGTATCTTTGCGAGGGAACAAGGTGATTATAGGTAAGGATTGGTTGATCCCCAATGGGGCAGTGATAGATTGCGCACAGTAGTTGGTGCGAGTCAGGACCCTAGGAGGGGGAGAGTTGGTGATTCAGGAAAAGAGACCACAACGAGGGCCAACCTTATGTTCGGCAGCGAGGGCAAGGCGTTACCTTCAGCAGGGTTGCACAGGATATGTCGCTTATGTCATGGACACCCGGGAGGTGGGTAAGGCGACAGTGGGCGATGTACACATGGTGCGAGAGTTTACGGACGTATTCCCTGAGGAGTTGTCTGAGGTACCTCCAGAGAAACAGGTGGAATTTAGGATCAACCTAGTACCTGGTGCGGCTCCGATAGCCAAGGCACCGTATCGATTGGCTCCTCCTGAGATGCAGGAGTTTTCTACACAGCTGCAGGAGCTGTTAGACAAGGGATTCATTAGACCGAGTAGTTCTCCCTGGGGAGCCCCAATTATGTTTGTGAGGAAGAAGGACGAGTCACATCGAATGTGTATAGATTATCGGGAGCTGAACAAGGTAACGGTAAAGAACTGTTACCCACTCTCGAGGATTGACGACCTCTTTGACCAGCTTCAGGAAGCATCTTGGCTCTCCAAGATTGATATGCGTTCCGGATACCATCAGATGAGGGTCAGAGAGGAGGGTGTACAGAAGACTGCATTCCGGACACGCTATGGCCATTACGAGTTTGTGGTGATGCCCTTCGGGCTCACCAATGCTCCTGTCGCGTTCATGGACCTCATGAATCGCGTGTATAGACCGATGTTAGACTGGTATGTGATATTGTTTATTAATGATATCTTGGTTTATTCCAAGACGCAGGAGGAGCACGAGCAACATCTGCGAGAGGTGTTGGAGACTTTAAGGAAGCAGAACTTGTATGTTAAGTTCTCCAAGTGTGAGTTCTGGTTACACGAGGTGCAATTCCTTGGACACCTCGTCAACCAGAACGGGATTTCGGTGGACCCGGCCAAAGTGGAGGTCATGATGAGATAGGAGGTTCCGAAGTCTCTATCTGAGATTCAGAGTTTCCTAGGATTAGTCGGCTACTATCGGAGATTCATCCAGGATTTCTCCAAGATAGTTGTACCCTTGACCAGAATAACAAGGAAGGTCGTGGTCTTTCGTTTGGGGCCTGAGCAGCAGGCCGCATTCGAGACACTAAGAAAAAGATTGTGTGAGGCGCCAATCATAGCCATGCCGAAGGGCATTGAGGATTTTGTTGTGTACTGCGATGCGTCCATCTCGGGTTTGGGCGCAACACTGATGCAGAGAGGGCATGTCATCGCCTACGCGTTGAGGCAGTTGAAGCCTCACGAGGCGAATTACCCGACGTACGATTTGGAGCTGGGGATTGTTGTATCCACCCTCAAGATTTGGCGTCATTACCTCTATGGGCTTCGGTGTACCATCTACACGGACCACAAGTTTGAGGCACCTCGTGGATCAGCCGAATCTAAACATGAGGCAACATCGGTGGTTGGACGTGGTGAAGGATTACGATTATGAGATCCTTTACCATCCGGGGAAGGCCAATGTGTGGCCGATGCGCTTTGCCGCAAGGTAGCGTTGATTAGGGATATATGTTTGAGGATGAAAGTGGTGACTCTGATGTTGGAGCGGATTCGGGAGGCCCAACAGGAGGCCATGAAGGAGGAACATTGGAAGAGCGAGCGAATAGTGGGGCAAGTTTCCTCCTTCAACTATGACAGCCGAGGATTACTGACACTACACCGTAAGGTGTGGGTTCCGTACCACGGGGTGTGCGCGAGGTTCTGATGGCGGAGAAGCACAAATCTCGATTCTCCATTTATCCCAGGGCGACAAAGATGTATAGGGATCTTCGTCCGGACTATTGGTGGCCCTGCATGAAGTGGGATGTGGCATCGTACGTGGAGCGGTGCTTGACCTGCAGGAAGGTCAAGGCCTAACATCAGAGACCTCACGACAAGAACAAGCCGTTGGATATTCCGTTGTGGAAATGGGAAGACATCACGATGGATTTTATCACCAAAGCTTCCCAAGACCACCCAGGGAGTGGATTCGATTTGGATCATCATCGATCGATTGGCCAAGAGTACCCATTTTATGCCGATTCAGGAGAGCATTTCGGCCGAAAAGTTGGCCGACATCTATATCAAGGAGGCGGTGGCGCGGCACGGGGTGCTAGTTTCGGTGATTTCAGATAGGGATGTGCGGTTCACTTCCAGGTTTTGGAAGAAGTTTCATGATGAGCTGGGTGCTCGTCTGCACTTTAGCACCGCCTTTCACCCGCAGACGGATGGTCAGAGCGAGCGGACCATCCTGACTCTGGAGGACATGCTGTGAGCATGCGTGCTAGACTTCGGAGGTAGTTGGGATACCTATCTTCCATTGGCAGAGTTCTCCTATAACAATAGTTATCATGCGAGCATTGACCGCCCTCCCTTCGAGATGTTGTATAGGAGAAGGTACAGGACCCCGATATGTTGGGGCGAGGTTGGACAGAGGGTAATGGGGAGTACCGAAGTAGTGCTCAAGACGACAGAGAGGATTCAGCAGGTCTGGAGCAGGCTTCAGACTGCTCAGAGTTGGCAGAGAAGTTATGCCGATAACGGCCGATCAAACCTGGAGTTCCAGGTCGTGGATATGGTTCTCCTGAAGATGTCGCCATGGAAGGGCGTTATCCGATTTAGGAAACGGGGCAAACTAGGCCCCATGTACATTGGACCGTTCAGGGGTTATAGCCCGAGTGGGCAAGGAGGCGTATAGGCTGGATTTACCAGCCAAACTCGGTCAGATCCACAACACTTTCCACGTTTCCCAGCTGCGAAAGTGTCTGGTGGACGACTCAGCAGTAGTGCCCACTACTAGAAAAACAGCCTTTTACGACGCTCATTGCGCATCGTAAAAGGCTCAGATGACACGCAAATGCGCGTCAAGGAAGGCCCTGTCATAAAGAGAAACGACGCGCTTTTGTGCGTCATCTATAGACGACGTGCATTTACGACGCACAATTACGTCGCGCATCTACGACACGCAATGCGTATCAAGGAAGGCCCTATCATAAAGGAAGACGACACGCATTCGCGTGTCGTAACCTTACGACGCGCGTGTTAATGACACGCAATGCGTATCAAGAAAGCCCCTGTCAAGAAAGGCCATGTCATAAATGAAGATGACACACATTTTTGCGTATCATAATTTTAAATGTTTTAAAAAAAATATTATATTATTGATTTACTAATTTTCAAATTAAATAATACATTAAAAATCTCATAATACAAAATAAAATACGATAAATAACAAAGATAATTCATTTCACTAATATGTCAAATACAAATAATTATTCCAATATTGAGTAATTGTAATAAAAGAAATGAACTCAAGAGAAGTAGAATTTATATACAATCGCATTATCTAGCTTACTATGTGCTAACAACTCTCTGTGTGTTTGCTTTTGCTTGAGTCTTGTTTCCTCCAAAGCTTCTAGCCATGCCAAAGTATGAGTCTTGCTTTTGCTTGAGTCTTGTTCATGTCCAAATCAAGTAAAACATTGCTAACTTATATTCATCAAGTCCTTACCTTCCTGGAACTGAATTGAAGTCACCACAGACGAACATTGGAATATCTGAACTTGCAATTATCTTTTTCAATCCTTTTAACAGTGTGTGAACCTTCAATTTTCACATTTATATAGTTTTTAAGTTATTAACATGAAGAAAAAGTGTATATATACAAACAACAAGAGATACTTATCTTCTTTGTTTTCATTTCTCTTCGACAAAATCTACACTAAAAGAAATGTGCGCATGTATGTTAATGTCAAAATTCCTATGAGGGCAAAATGGTCATAATAATTCGGAACAATCTGGAAGAGTATTTTTGTCCGAGTGGAAAGTGAATCTTGATTTTATACATACATACATACATCTATATATATATACACACATACACACACACAACACAATATCAATGTATGTCAGTGTGTGTGTGCTAACAACCGAGAAGCTAAAGAGCTTCCTAACATGGAAGATAACATGAAAGTAGCAAAAATGAAACCATGTGGAATGTCTTTACCATTTGGGCTTAAAGCAGGTGTCCATAGAAACACAAAAGTGTACATTGAACCCTCGAATAAAGATTGTATTGCACCCAATAATGGTATCTTTTCATCTGTTTTTACACAAAAAAAAAAAAAGAAACTATTAGGTCCAAATTTAGAAGGTAGAATGATATGTATGCATAATTACAAGATTGCCACTTTGGATTCTTCATGCTTCTCCTGTATATGCATGAGAGAGAGAGAGAGAGACCTGATGCAATTGCAACAGCAGCACCCCTGAATTGGGTCATTAGATCTTTGCTTTCTGATGAGTCACCATAATTTTCAGTCCATGATGATATGATGATGGCCATTCCAATGGCAAGAAAGATTGAAGCTGCATCAAATGGAGCAACAGGTCCCATGGCCAATGAACCAACTAAAAGATTTCCAAATAAACCAGCTAAAATGGCAACCAGTCCATTCCCAAGAAATATTGCCTTGGAGAATGTAGTTGATAGCCATTGTTGCTCAAAACCTCTCTACAGATGCATCAAAACAAGAGCATTAGAACCATAGACAATATAAAGGGTGTATTTAGAAATGTAATATTATATCTCACCTTGTTGTGTTCAGCAACAAGCCATGATTCGAAGGCTGAAAAGAGGAGAGAGGTGGCAATCCCTCTCAATATACGCCCCACCATTAGAATTATGTACTGAGGTGAATGCTTGGTGATGCAATTTAGAATGTAGGTTATGCAGTAAGTAATTGAAGCTCTTTTTGCTTCTCCTTCTCCTTCAGAATGTAGGTGACAATCCCTCCTCAATTTCTCCCTGACAGTTGATCCACGACGTTTTTTTACTCGCATATCAGAACTGTCATCAGAAGAAGTATCTTTCTTCACAGTTTTTTTCTTTTTACCTATAAAGAAACAAAGGTATCAGTTCAGCAACAAACTTTCACTTTTTGACTCATTTAGTCCCTAATCGGTTTTTTGAATTCAATTAGAGTACACTTAAAAACAAATTTAGTGGTCTACTGAGTCCAAAAAATGATTAGGTACTTGTAAGGTACAGTGGCTGAATAAATAATGATGCTTTCCTGTTTGTTTTTTAGAGCAAATAAGCCAAACTGTCTGTACGTGACAAAATAACCATTTTACCCTTTCGTTTATGAATAATACAAACACAAGTGTTCATATGTAAAACATGGTTTCAGGAAAATGACATGGAAGGTTCAGCTATCTCAGAGCTGCAAAAGAGACTGAATATTTATGTTTCGTTTTCTGGTCATAATCTTCAAATTGTTCATGAATCAGAAGATAAAGAATTCTTGAACTGGCATCAAGGATAAATGGAAATAAATCATTTAATAATAAACAGGTCAGATATCTTTATTTAGTTATTTTATTTCTCTTTTTGCCATATGTGACTGAAATATATTATATTATTATACATAAAACTTACTATAGGCTGTTGATGCACTCCGTGAACATTGGCAAAATTCTTCCCCAAAATCAATACCTCTAAAGGAGCTTAACCCCTAAACAGGTAAGAAAGTCTCCAATATAGATTATTTCTTATATGCAAAAGAGAAAAACAGCACCAATACAAATAGAACCCAGTCATGTAAGTCCACTCTGATAGAAACCTGTCATTTAAAGGTTCTTCATGTTTCCAATGACTATGTTTGATAAAAAAAAAAATGAAAATGAACAGAAAGACTTCCTAATGATAATAATGAGGGTAAATTGATAATTTAAACTCAAAATGCTGCATTTCGCATAGGGCATCCAATTTGGAAATTTGTTCAATTATTGTGGGATGGAAACAATCAAACAACGTATATTTTATTGATATTATGTTGATAAGTTGCAAGTCTTCTATGTTACCTATTTTAACAGAAGATCTAAGGAAGACTGAATATACTTACTGTACAAACCAAAGTAATAGGAAGGACAATGCAGAGGAAGTCGATTATTCGTCCTCAAAATCCCTCTTTTCTGTCAAATAAAATTACATGAATATGTCAAGGACAACATTAATAAACACCTATTAAATTGCAAGGGAAAATGATAGACCCTTGTTGAATCTATCATAAACTCCAGGCATTTTAACCCCTGATCTAATTACGTGATGATATTAAGATAATTCCCAGCTTTCGAGATGTGGGTATCTCCAAGAAAGAACAAAGTTCAATTCATAATAATTCTTCGCTATCTCACTCCTATTACTAACTACTATATATATACTGCTACTACTAAAGAAAAGGACAAAAGGGAATAACAGCTAGCAAGGTGATATCACCATTACTTTGTCTCACCACTAACTCTAAACTGTTAAAATAAATAAAAGACCAAACTGCCCTCCATACACCAATTCTGGAAGTAGGCTGCAGAAGATTAGACTTTGGGTTTCCAAGCCCTTATACCATAAACTAATAGTCCATGGGGCTTATCAGAAAAGAATAACAAAAAAGAAAACCCCACAAACCTCTGGGTATGTGTTGCGTCGCCTCAAATTTGCAAGAGCAGAAGCAACCTGATTAAAATTATATGTTAAAATTAAGTTGTAATTTGTAAATATATATGATAATAAATATTTATGAAATAAATGATACCTGATCACTAGCTTCTTTGAGCTGTAATAGTACCATTGCATATTCCTTTTTGAAGCTTTCGGATACATTCATGGGGACACCTGTCTCGTTTTTACTCAATGAGAGTGCATGTATATCGGTTTCTCTTGCCTGAATTTGAGAGGCTGCTGCATGCTGATGCTGTGAGATAATAACATTGTCTGCAGCTTTAAGAGGTGCACCAGACCGATTTTGTCCCTAAACAACGTATAATTTTTAATTTTATTAACATATGTTCGGGTATTTTTTTTCAAAAATAAATTTAAGAAAACTAACCAGTCGATGGAGATCGGGTTTTCAATTATACCCAACACACATGAACCTTCACATGGAACGGGGCAAACCTTGCCCGTGAACTCTGGGAAGTTATTTGTTTCAAGAAGTCGATCCAATGCCTCACGTCATCTGTTGTGGTCGGGTCGCCCGATGTTTGACCGCATCAGTGACTCTTGATGGTCGGGTTGCCTGTTCGGCATTTTCATCCTCCTTCACCTAAAAATCGAAATTAAACAAAATTACTATTTTACCCCTCAAACAAATTCTAAAGCATTATAAATAAATAAATAAAGATATGATTCTCACCTGATTAACAGTGTCAATCAACTGATTAACTGTCTCAGTCAGTGACTTGGCTGCCAGCTTCTTAAGATCCTCAAAAGCATCTTTCTCCTTCAACACATCTTCCTCACGAATGTCAGCTTCTTCAGCAGCCAAATCAACTTTTTTTTAGTTCTTTTCTATGGATTTTGACCATTTTCAACTCAACCCACTAACACTTAATAACTTTGACTTGTGGAGAGAAAACCCATGCTTTAACCTTGTATAGATCATCTCTCGCTTTCTTGAAACAAGCAGCTTGGGACTGGAACAACAATCAAATCAAAATTTCTCAAACAAATAAAATACAGGGTTTAGAGCTCATTTTAGAGCCAACTGATATGAAGGAAAAAAACCTCATGATACAGATATGCCTTGACCCCCTTTAGCCCATGCCACATTACAGACCCAATCAGCTTGTGGCTTACTACAGAGAGAGCCTAAATTCAAATCTCTAACACATAATTTGAAGAAATTGTTGTCTTTGTCATACATGATGTATGCAATGAATCGATGACCAGGTGAGACTTCTGCTACCTCTTCATATGCATAACCTAAATGAAGTCATGTTAATAGATTAAATGAAGTGGAAGAGAATTAGAGATCGTTGAAAGATGTTGAAATGATACTGGAATTGGAATTACCCCAAATCTTTCTGCTTCTTGATTTTAATCGATGAGTTTTTGTTCAATCCTCTTCCTGGAGATGAAATCGAACCCACCTGTTGGACTTTTATGTGAAATGAACTCTTCGTTTAGGCTAGCTAATCTCCTACAGAGTAATGGATATTGTTTCCCTTCCTCTACTCTCCTGTAATACAACCTGAATTTCACCTCCAAATTGCCAAAGAAGAACACGGAATTTGAATTCGGATCCAAAAGAAATCAACAAGCTTCAGATGAAGTGCAATTTGAAATTGATGGTACCAGGGCCCCCAGCGAAATGGAGGAGTGGAGAGCTGAGAAGACATGCGAGATGATATTTTTGATTGGAGTTTGGATTGAAGGCGATCGGAGTCTGCTAAAATAGCTTCAATCGAATGGCGCTGATGTAAGGAGTCACATAACCTTCAATCGAAGGTGTTTTGCGTGAGAGGAGCTGTTGGATCTCTCTGAACAATTTATTGAGAAGTGGTTCAAAGCCCTAGTTCTTTTCGTCGAATGGCGCTGATGAAAGCATATGGAGACTTGCGACATAGTGGATAGAGAAGATTAGTGTCTGATGGCGTTGATAAAAACATATGAGACAAACACTCTTTATAGATTCCATGGCCGCTTAGAGCTGATGGGTTTCGATGCTGGTGATGGCGGCTTAGGGCTTGCAAAGAGAAGGGAGAGAGAGTGCAGATCAAGGTACAAGAAGACAAGTTGCTTTAAAAGGATTGACAGCCTCACAATAGAATTAGGGTTCTTTGTTAGAATAGAATTCGGGTTCTTTGTTAGAGGATTGTAGAATAAGAGAAGTAGGCGGGTGTTTAATTTTTTGGGATTTCATTTCCCTCCATCGCCGATTAAAAAAAGCGAGAACGCACCTTCCTAAAAAAAATATAAAGCGACATCTTTACACGACGCGCTTTTTATGGTAGGTGTCCGTGTTTTTTTTTGGACATTAATTTCCGGGCACGCAAAAATGCGCGCCCTCTATCCTTCACATTTTGCAAAGCTGACATTATTTTTTAGGGCACGTACAAATGCGCGTCGTCTATCAGTGCGTGTCATTGTTTGCGCGTCATTAAAGACCTATTTTCTAGTAGTGGCCCTTGCAGGACACTCAGGTTGATGGCAGCTTGAATTACATCGAGCGAACTATGGCGATCCTCGACCAGAAGTCGAATAACCTGAGGAACAAAAGAAGGTGGAGCTCGTGAAGGTGCAATGGCAGCACCACCTCGGAATGGACTTGGGAGCCGGTGGACGAGATGATGGAGCATTACCCAAAGTTGTTTCAGGAACAAGCAGCAGACTATGAGGACGAAGTCTAAAATATGTGGGGGAGATTTGTAGCACCTGGTTCTTGTTATGTAATTCTTTTTATTTTTATCTAAGTGTTTTGCATTTTTGGCCTTGGACTCGGCGAGTTGAAGGACCAACTCGCCGAGTAGAAGCGGGACGGGATGCGGGATTTAAGTGATGGACTTGGCGAGTCGGGTCCCGGACTCGACGACTAGACCCTGGCTGGAAAAAAAACCCTAATCTGAGGGTTTTCACCCTATTTAAACATCTCATTCAACCACCCATCGTCCCATTTGCTCCCAGAAGATCCACATAGCGAACCCCAATCGTGTGAGTGAAGATCTAAGGCCTTTTGAGTGATTTTGGTGCTTTTGTGATATAAGAAAGGAAGGAAAAGCTTGAAGAAACAAGAAGAGGCTAGAGGGATCCGAGTTTGAGCATCTTCCACAGTGCATTTGAGGTATAAAGCTTATACCTTGCTCATTATTATTATTATAGATCTATTCTTGAAGGAAGTTAGGGATTCTGAGAGCCATTTTGGCTACCAACCATGATTACAAGCATGTTTGAGGGCTAGGGTTTCGGATCCAGGGTTCTTGAGGGACCCTAAGGCAGAAAGCAACTGTTTTAGAACCCATAGAAAGCCTCATGCATGTTAGGAGTTCCTTTTTGAGCCATTTGGTCTCATTCTTCCATGCATGCATGTAAAGTTTGTAACTCTACATGCTAGATCAGGCCTAGGGGCATGGATCTATCTTTTCGTTAAAGGTTGTACATCAGAAAATCGAGGATTTAGGGTGTGGACGTTACCGACTAGGCGAGTCCATTCTTGGGACTCGGCGAGTCCAAGGCATAAAGTCTTATATCTGTCGAGGATCTAAAGAACTTAGTTGGGTGTTAGAAGGACTGTATAAGGTCAGAAGGAGCGACCCAACGCTTTGGACTTAGCCTTAGACCTAGAATTCATGGGACTCGACGAGTGCTAGAACATACTCGGTGAGTCCTAGACAATCTCCTTAAGATTGAAGATGAACTCGACGAGTTGTTCATACAACTCAGAGAGTCAAGGTCAGGACTTGTTCATCAGATGAAGGTGAACTCGAAGATTTGTTCATACAACTCGGTGAGTTAGATGAAGGATCATTCGATGTTCTTATAGAAGAGGGACTCGTCGAGTCATCGCCAAACTCGACGAGTCGAGTCATCGATGAGGTTGTGTAAAGGGATAGGGACTCGACGAGTTGACGACCCAACTCGGAGAGTCGGGTCAACTTGAAGTTGACTTTGACTTGGACTTGATTGGGGGTAAAATAGTCATTTTACCCTAAGAGTAGATGTCAGTTTCTGACTAAGTGTTTTGTGGGGATTGTAGCCGGAGGATTTCCGGAGCAGCAGCAGGCAGAGACTTCCCACACGGATGATCAACAGCTACTTGTTCGAGGTGAGTTACCTTCCAGTAGCGGTGGGTCTACGGCCACAATGCCGACCCACCGGTAGGAGTTGTATGTTAAATGATTGTCTTTGTGATTTCCTCTAGGTTTGCTACTACCTGATATGTTATATGATGGCATGATATGTTATATGCGATAGTAGTAGAGTTCGGTTGCTAGGACCGAAGGGTAGGTTAGGCACCCCAGATATGTCTGACAGTATGTGATGATATGTTTATATGTTGGTATGATATGTTATATGTGATAGTGGTAGTAGGGGGAATAGTCCCCAAGTTTGGTTGTTAGGACCGAAGGGCAGTTCGGACACCCCAGATATGTTTGATAGTATGTTATGTTATGATATATGTGATAGTAGCAGTAGAGGGGTGGAATAGTCCATGAGGGTCGGTTGTTAGGACCGACGGGTAGGTCAGCACCCCAGAATGGCTTGACACGGGTAGGACGGCACCCCAGAATGGTCGTACCGGGTAGGGCGGGCACCCCAGAATTGCCCGGCAGTATATATGCTATGTGACTGCATGGTATGTGGTACGATGGGGGAACTCATTAAGCTTCGTGCTTACAGTTTATAGTTTTGGTTTCAGGTGCGTCTTTAGTGAAGGGGAATGAGCTGGCGTGATAGTGGCACATCACACACATGTTGGTTTTCCGCACTAGAGTTTCTTGGGATTGTACTCTAACATTATTCTTACTTTTGTGAATGGTATCATACATGAGTTGTGGTTTTTATGAAAAGTTATGTTTAGATGGTGTTTTCTTATAAATAATTTTACTAGTCTATTAATTAAAAATGAAATTTTTGGACTTGAAATTTGGATCGTTACAATTTAGATGGAGTATCTTTGGTGCAACTTTAGTGGGGTGGCGAATCACGAAGGAGTATGTGTAAGTTTAGGGGAGCAAGCTCTTATCCTGAAGCAGAGCTTCCTGGGTCCATGATCGATAAGGGAGGTGTGTGTGTGTGTGTGTGTATATATATATATATATATATATATATATATATATATCATCCATCGTATAAAGGTAAGTTGGTTAAAATAGAGGGCGACCTCATGAGTCTTATGTGACAGGAAGGTCTTGTTGAAACTAAAAAGGTAATTCTATATGGTAGTTGTTAGGTCTGTCATGGTGTATAGGTCTGAATATTGGCCGTCCATTAAGGACCACGAAAGGAAGATGGAAGTAGTAGAAATGAAGATGTTAAGTTGAACTTGCAGTAGAACTTTGTTGGATAGCAATTCAAATGTGATTGTATGAATGTCATTATTAGGAGTGGCGTAGAACATCGAAAATTAAGGGATGGACGATTGAGGTGGTATGGACATCTCCTTAGGAGGCTACCATCAACGATGGTAAGGAGGGTAGAGTCAATATTGTAAGAGGAGGAGCGGTCATCCTAAAAGCAAGTGTAAGGATAATGTGTGGCTAGACATGGAGGAGCATGCTCTTTCCAAGGACATGACCTCATATTAGAGGGTAGGGAGACTAAACATCAAGGTAGATAGGTAGCCTTGCCCCTTGTTTTTCCTGTTTGATCATCTATATTGTCGATTACCTATTTCTTGTTCATGTGCTTGTCTCCTGGTTTATCCATGTTTTGTTTTACTTCTCACATTGATTTACTCCATCCTGATTTCCTCATTTGTTGACTTCTTAGATGCATTTGCTTCTAATTTATTGTATATATGTTTATGTCTCACTACTCATATTTGATTTACTTTATTGTGTTCGCCACTTTTAAAGGTCACAAGTTGCACATGTCAAATGCCATCTACATGACGTGGTCACTCTACTCCCTATGGAGGCATGAGTGTCAAATGTCAACTTCCACCTCCCCATACCGCATTGCAATGGGATTCATGAGGTCTATTACTATTGTTGTTATTACTATTGTTGCGTTGTAACCTCATTATTCACTTCAAGAATATTTAAATAGATTTTTTAGAACCCTCAAAGAAATTCCTTGATGGAGCATTATATGTGTGGCTCTGTTGAAGACATGAAAGACATACTAAGACAAAAATAACGAATAATAAGCAAACATATTTTTATCAATCGCCAATAAGTACAATTGTGGATACGCCTTCCAAAGGAAAGGGTCTCCACCAAATATTCATCCAAAACATGGTGAATGACTAAAATCAAGATAGTGAAGTAGTTAGTATAGGTCCTAGACTTTTTATATTTTACTTGTTTGTGTTTTTCATATACTATTTTATTTCATAGTTTTATCCCCTTTTATTTTCATTTTTATTTCTACTATATGTTTTCACCCATTCTCTATACTTACCCTTGTACTCCTGCCTTTCATATGCCATCTATAGATGCTTTTACTACATCCTTAGAAGGTGTAACGACTGTCTTCATTTTACCCCATTATAAAGGGATGTCAGTGTCAATGTTGTATTAATATTCCATTTATTCAATCATATGATTTACCTTATGTTTTTAAATCTGGTTTTCTGACAAATAAGGGAATGAATGCAACTAAATTCCAACCAAATCTTAAAGGAATTGAAACTCCGTGAATAATGGAATACGAAGTATTCCGATGGAATTAAATTTCATTCATTTCACAACCAAACACACCATGAACCAAATGCCCCTCCATTCTTGATTGTAAGAAAGGCCTTATTTATTAATACAAACATTCTTTTGATACGTTTTCCATGCATGATTGCAACTTTTAAATAAGGGAATTTGTTCCTGATAGTGATAACACAAACACTTTAATCATGGGCCTAATTTATGGACATTGTTCTTGTAACTTGTTTCCACGAAATACCTTCACGTCACAACCACTTAAATGTTAACAAAACATCATTCTCACAACTAATTTAGTGTCACACTTGTTCAAAAGTCCCAATAATCTTTTTCAAAAAAAAAAAAAAATAACTTTTTTATATATAATCTCAAATGAACAAAAAAAAAAAATATTTCTATTGCTGAAGCTTAAGAACAGGAAAAGCAATAACATCTCTTATGCTAGCCGAATTTGTGAGAAGCATCACCAGCCTATCAATCCCAATTCCCTAAAATCAAAATGTCAAAATAAGTTAAACGCAAGAAATGTTACTTCTATTTTCAAAATAAAATAATAATAAAATAAAAATAAAAATATTTTTACCATTCCTGAAGCTGGAGGCATTCCGTATTCCAAAGCTGTTAAAAAATCCTCATCAAGAGTCACGTCATAAGACACGTCATCATCATTATCATCTTTTTTTTCCTTTCCTTCTGCAGCCTCTCTTTTCTTATTATGTTGCTTCACTTGTTCCTCCAAACGTCGCCTCTGTTGTATATATATATTTTTTTAATTTTATACTTTTAACAAATAAATCATACAAAAATTATACTACAAATTAATATAAATTTCGTAAATTACCTGGTCCAAAGGATCAGTTAATTCAGAAAACGCATTTCCCAACTCACGACCACAAACAAAAAGCTCAAACCTCTCTGTTAAACCTGCATCCCTGTTCACCAAATATAATGGATAACAAAAATAAAAATCCGACAAAAAAAAAAAAAAAAAAAAAAAGATTAACCCTAAAAATAAAATACATTTTGTACCTCCGATGTGGCTTAGCCAAAGGAGAAATTTCAACAGGATAATCCAGAACAAATGTAGGCTGTACTAATGTTGCTTCTACTACCATTTCAAAAACCTGAAAAATTAAAGTATAACTATTAATATGCAAAAAAAATGAAAAAACAATAAAGTAAATGAGAAATGGATTAATAAATAATAACCTCATTAAGCACATGGCCCACAGAAGAGCAAGCTTCAATTGAATGTCTGTCTGGATTACGTGGGCCCAGATCGAGTGCACTAATAACCGCTTCTTTAACAGCATTAAGATCATTTCCTAATTTAATAAAGTCAACTCCTGTGGCTTCTTTGACTAAATTATGCATTGTTTCTCTTCTCCATGGTCTTTCAAGGTTAATTTCTACACCCTTTATGTATAAAAATAGCAATGTATTTTCATATAATTATTAATTAATTTTGAAAGTAGATTGCTATTTTTAGTATCTAAGATACCTGATAATCAAGAGTAAGCTTCCCATGAAGTGAAAGAGCACATTGAGTTACAATTTCTTCTGCCATGTTCATCATGCTTTCGTAGTCTGAGTATGCTTCATATATCTGGAATATATAAAGAGTTAAGATAATGTTATAAAAGTGAAACCTTTATGTAATATTATTAATTATACTATAAATGTAAAACGATTACCTCTATTGTTGTGAATTCTGGATTATGACGAGTTGAAAGGCCTTCGTTTCTGAATATTCGGCCGATTTCGTATACTTTTTCTAATCCCCCAACCTATAAGTTGCTTTTAATGGATTGATTAAAAAATATTTTTATAAAAAAAAGTTTTAAAGATTAAAGACTCGAAATCTCACCAACATTCTCTTCAAATGGAGTTCAGTAGCAATTCTGAGATAAAGATCTCTACCAAGAGAGTTATGGTGTGTAATAAATGGCCTAGCTTCTGCCCCTCCAGCTGCTTCCTAGAAAGTCAAAGTCAAAGTTACATTTTAGTAATCTCAAAGGTTTAAAAAAGAATCAAATTATTTACAAACCTGTAAAACGGGAGTGTCAACTGAAATAAATCCCATTAATTCAACTGTCTGGCGTATAATTGAAACAATCTACTGAAGTGAAGCACAAAATCAGCAAACTAACATTTCAAGATAACAACTCATATTCTTTAATGCACTAAAAAGGTAACATATTTTACATATTTAGTCCCTTATGTTTTTGATTTTGTACACATTTGATCTGACCATTACATTTAAAAAATTTTAACCATACCTTTGCTCTATTACGGAATACATCAGCTACCTCTGGATTTGCAATCATATCTACATATCTATGCAACAACATAAAATTGCCAATAAGTATTAATTAATGAAGTCAAATGTTTTTTCAACAAAAAAAATAATTATAAAACGAACCGTTGCCGATAACGTTTATCCTTATCTTGCAGACCATGAAACTTGTCTGGTAATGGAAGCAAAGACTTTGTAAGAATCAAGAACGAATTTACACAGAGAGAGAGCTCCCCTGAAACATAAATGGGAGGAATGAGTAATAAGATTGTGATTTGTGAATGAGATTAAAAAGTAAATATGCAAGAAAGAATATTACTTCTCTTTGAAAATGGTATAAAGAGTGTAACAAATTTGCAAACTTTGAACCAAGGGAATTGTGGATACTGGATAACTGAAAACTGACCTTTCTCTGTACGTTTAATTGAGCCTCTTGCACCCAATATGTCGCCTATATCAACAAGGGACTTCAATTGATCAAATTGATCGTTTGCAAGCCTTTCCTTCTCACAGTAAAGCTGAAATCACAATGGAGATTGAAGTTATTAACAAGCAACACAATCTTTGGATATGAAAATAAGGGAGATGTTAATTGTTAATTTGTTATCACCATACCTGAATTGTTCCAGAATCATCCCTTAAAGTCAAGAAAGCGAGTTTTCCAAAAGCCCTACGTGCCACAATTCTTCCTGATATTGATACTTGATCATTCTCAGTGTTGGACTCTTCGCCATTGCCTAGATGCTTATAAATCTCTTGCAATTGATTAGCAGTATGGGTTCTGTCCCACTTGTATGCATAGGGTTCGTAGCCCTTGCTCCTCAACTCTTCCACCTGCGACAGAATGAAGAATCCATTAGTTTTATTGGAAAAACTGTAGAACGATTCGTGTTAAATATGATATAAATTAGGTGTTATATTCATTCATCAGTGACTAATAGCACGCAATGTTTACTCCGTTCTACTGAAAACATCATCGATTTGATTTTAAAAGCAAAATGTCAATGAGAGATAGGAGAAATGGGGTAAGACCTTTTTGAGACGGATTGCGCGAATGGCGTCTCTATCGGAGGTTGAGGTTGTAGTGGAAGCGGCGGAAGATCTCCTACCCCTGCCGCCTTGTTTTGGCGCGGCGGCGGCGGCGGCGGCGGAAGTGGAGGAAGAACAACAGCGGACTAAAGTAACGGGGAGATATGATTTAGAAGTAGGAGGAGGAGAGGCAGCTAAATGGAAGAGGTGTCTCAGAGGCCGTGACGACCAAACCTTCAAGGCCTCCATTGTCATCTGAATTCTGAACTGCTAATTTGCTAGCCAGAACAAACTCAAGAGGGTTGAAGAAAAGGTATATTTGGTATTTTCTTTTATCTGAGTTGCATAAATTGTCCTTCAAGAAGCCATTTTTTCTAATTTTGATCCTTATTTTGAAAATGTATTTTTTTCATCTTAGAGGGGGTGATTGATTTTGCTTTTAAAATGATTTTTGAGACTTTTGGCTTTTCCAAAAAGTCAAAAGTTTAAAAAATTGTTTGGTAATTCAAAAAGATCTTTTAAATTAGCTTTTTGAAAAGAAGAAAAAGGAGGCTTTTAAGAAGTCACGTATGTGTGACTTTTGGCAACTTTTGCATTTTTCCTTTTTCCATCTCAAAAGTTTAAACAAACACATTTTAAAACCATCTTTTGGAAAAAGATATGAATCAAAAAGTTCTTTTCTAAACAGGATTTTTTGATCTGAAAAGCTATCCCAAACACCCCCTTAATTATTATCGTAAGTTGTAACCGTATCAATTAGCGATGAACATAGGCGGGCATCCATATCATTTGGTAAAACAAAAGCTTGTGGTTCCTGGAAAGTTAGAACCAGAACCGAAACCGGTCTATACAGATCTTAATTTTTTTGGAACCAGTTCCACGAACAGGTAACCCGGTTACATCGAATTTATTTATTTTTGTCAATAAAACCGTAATTTATTTTGGTCCAAATCGAATCAATTCGGACCAAAGATGAGTTCTGGCGGGTACTCAGCGGGTAGCGGTTCCGAAAAATAAGAACGGGAACCGGAACCGCTTAAGATAGTTTCATAACTTTAGAAAGTGGAATCGTTTAAGGCAGTTTCCATTCCAGAACCGATTGTTTCGAGACGGTTACTGTTCCAAAAACGGATATCCAATTCATATGCTCATCCCTAATACCAATACGCCATAATTATTGGAAGAGTCACCATCCATGTTACTTGGGACAAACTCATCATTAAAACGAGGTTTTTAAATTATGCTCACGGGAAACCCACATTTTCACATTAAAATATATTGTATTTATATTTTGTAATTATCATGGGCGTCGTTGAGGGTATGTGAAGTGAGCGACCGCACATGACTCATATCGTGGAGGGGGTCTAATTTTACATATGATTAAGTTTATAGTCTACCAATCGACAATCCAATAATCAAACAGAAAAAAGTTTATGCATTTACCAATTCCAATAGTTAACGCTACAATTAAAAATTGTAACAACTCACATTTTGAAAATTTGGGCTTAAAATTAAAATTGCTTTTAAGCTAATGTAAATTTATGTTAAACAAGAGCTTACGTTTTGTTCCAATTCCGAATTTCCAAATTTGCAAAGCTCAAATGACATTTTTTATTTCTGATTCCACTATACTCCACCTCTCATTTATATTGCACTCCCGCTCTACTTTTTTATTGTTAACTGAAATTAAACAACTAACTATTTTTCTATTCCTAATTTCTAAATCTGACGACATCTTATTTTATATTGTGATCGTTGTCGTTGATTAACAAATGAAACACACTAATAAACGTATGCTAAATAATTGAATAGTGCTACGAGAGTGCCACAATTTATTTAGCTATGTAAGATTATATATTGTATTCTCATTTTTTTTTATTGTCTTTATAAGATTTATCGAGTTATCTTAATATGAACAAAAAATTCTTATATATATATATATATATATATATATATATATATATATACACACACACACACTAGGTTACAACCCATGAAACCACGGGTAACAGATTTATAAAATTTTATGAAATTTCAAAGATTTAAGTTTTGTAGACATTTGTACTCATTATTTAAAATTACATCCATCATTGACTTCATATGATATTTCGTACATTTACTTATCATCATTCTTTTTATCCACATTGACCAAACGATCCATCCATAAAACATAAAAATAAAAATAGAAATAAGGATCTATTGGTAACTTGAAGACCACAAAAACTAAAGCACAAGTGAATGAAACTTTTTTTACATTATAAACTTTCAATTGTTTCAACTATTGAGTTTTCAGAGTTATTCTCTATTGATTATTCATTTGACAAACTAACCACCACTTCAAATCATTTTTTCAAGCATAAGAATCTCACATCTCCATTTTTTGTTCCTTTGCAAATAATGGAAACATTAGGAAGTATTTTGTGGAAAAAAACCCAAGTGGTTTCCTTCAATAAAAGATGTTTCTTCTATGATTGTTTCAAGCACATGTTAAAGGTTACCAAAAAACCATCTATTCTCTGAAATTCAATGATAATATTGAGTTATTTGCAAACAAAATGTTATAGATTGGAAGAATAAAGAATGTTTGCTCAAATGTGAAAATGTAAATGTTGAAAAACAATAATTGTAACACATGTTCCTTTATTTAAAATAATAATTTTTGAAGTTTTAATAATATCATACCATGTTTACCAAAACCAATTTATCAAAAACCCTAACTTATGTTTCCAAAGCATACAAACATTTAGATATCAATATATCATATATTTTCCATTTTGTCTTTTATACCACTGATAATTTTACGTATTTTCAAAATCAAGTAAATTTCCATTTTTCTCAACCAAAACTTCTCATATTCTGGTTAAAAGCTTATATCTCATATTTTATTAACTTACTCTAAGTTAATTCTATTCAGTTCATTAAAAAATTTCAGATTTATCAAAAAGTCAACAAAAGTCAAGTCGTTCACTTTTTAACAGCACCAAAAGTTAGCATGTAGCCAACATTAAACTCTCGTATCTTGTTCATATATATATATATATATATATATATATATATATATATATATATATATATATATATATATATATATATATATATATATATATATATATATATATATATATATGAGTAGAATCAACTTGTTGCACCATCCTCTCATTCCCGACTAAATTTTTGGCTCAATAATGAAATGATTTGGATATGTATAACTCAAGTTATGCAACCCTAAAGATACTTTAAATTTCTAGACTTCAAATTTTTTTTGCATTCTAGCTTTGTGCATAATTTTACTAAACTTTAAACACACATAATTCTCTCAAATTAAGTCGGATTAGTTTGCTTCTTTTTTTTGTTATGCTTTATTTGTTGTTTTGGCGACAATTTAAAGCAAAGAATCACCTGTCTTCATAAATTAAAATCGAGTTATACAGCCTCAAACATGGGTTTTTGGATTTATTTAACTAAAATTTTGCATTTATTTTCATTTTGTTCAAAGATGGAATTAATGATTCAATTCCAACCTTCTTTGCATTTCACATATTGGTAACATACTTTCAAGTTGTATTTTCTGTGTAATTATATAGAAATACTTAATTACATATGATCAATTTCGAACATTTCTAGCATTACTTACTTAAGTATTCAAGTTAGCATAATTCTTTTTCATCAAATAATCCTAATCCCAATTTCATGTCATAGTTTAAGCAAGCTAGAACACCCACCTGTAAAATTCTAGATAAATAAAAAGGTTAAATGCAGACCTTATTCGAAAAACAATATCACTTGAAGGATATAAATCAAATTAGTTTACAACTAAATAAAATAGTTAACCTTTTGAAAAATCAAATTTATAACAATGGTAATCGAAAACAGTAAAAATGAAAGTGAATCAAAGAACATGACAATAAAATATTTTAAAATAATACCGGAACCGAAGAAAAAAACAACCACTACCTACCATACATATTTGATATTTTATTCAAGCATTCTAGCAAATACTTGGCAGGCAAAAGATGCAAGGCCTTATTTAGGCACCTCCATCACTGAAGTCGCACAATAGTTCATCAATGTTGCAGCTCTTAGTTTGGAATACATTCAAGTAAGCCTAAGGGACCAAAAACATGTGACAACAGAAAGAAGAAAAAAAAATAGAAGAGGAAGCAGTCGAACTAAAACGTTCTACTTCTCGAATAAATAGAAAAAGAAAAAAGTTAAATTTAGCTGGAAAAAAATCAATAACAACATTATCAAGTGTTATTACCTATATCTATCTATTGATGATGTTTTTGAATTCTTGTATTCAAATGACTTGCTATTCTCCTCAAACTGGAAGCATATGTGTCGCCATTCTTCTCGAATTGAAATTTTAAATATGAAGCTAAAAGTTGAAACAAATTTTAAAATCATTCAATTAGACATAAACGTGTGCGTAAATTAGGGGATATTCATGGAAACTCTAATCAGAAGATGGGAATATATTCATGGGATAAAATGGAGTCCTTTAAAGGGAATACATTTGAGTTTGATAGTTTATGCTTTCAAAATTTTCAAAAATAATTCATGAATATAAGGGATTGCACTATTATTATGGAATTCGGATTAAATACATAATTTTAGGAAGGGTTTAAATTTTGATTTTGATTTATGGAGGAGAAGTAACGTGGGTGGACATCATCGTCTGATTTTATGGCCTGATTTTTCGAATTTATAGGGTATGATGGTCAAATACAACAATTAGCAATTAGGCGGGAAAATCAATGAGTAAAATGCTAGAAGATTGACACGTGGCAAGGTAGTAGTTTATAATCACAATACATTGCAATTTTTAGCAATGTTTTATTAAGTAAGAAGATATATATATATATATATATATATATATATATATATATATATATATATATATATATATAGGGAAAAGTGAATATACCCTTAAGGGTATATAAGCTTAGGTACCCAAACACACCATAATACACCATCTTGTATCATACAATACATTCTAATTGTCTGATGGTTTTATATTTTAACTTCTAACTCTATTTACTTCCAAAATTTTTATAAATTACACATTTATCTTCCTATTACATAGTTTCATTTTCAACTACAATATATATAGTCTAGTATGTGTTTAGAAAAAAGATATGATGTAAGTCAAATATAATAGTGAAATTTCGAATATCTTGAAAGTAAATCAATATAAGGTTTAAGTTCAAAAACATTATAATGAATATATCAAACAAAATGATGTATTATGGTGTGTTTGGGTACCTAAGTTTATATACCCTTAAAGGTATATTCACT